TTAATGATATTTGTAATTTATTATTAAAAAATAATTTAGCTGAAAATCATTTTCGCATTTCTCGATTGCCATTGAAAAGGGCAATCAAATGATTTTTGCGCATTGCCCTTATTAAAAATTCATCGCTCATTCAGAGGACTATAATAACAATGAATACATATTAAAGACCATCAGACGCGTGGATAGTGAGTGGATAATGTCGGCAGATTCATTCAGCAGATTACCCAACTGAATGAAAGGCGGCTTAATAATAATATGATAAGCGGAAAATTAAAATAGAGGCAAACAGCAAAATAAACCTGTGTCCTAGTAAATATTTAATGGGAAAAGTAAGGAAATTTAATATATAAGTTTAGCAGTTTTTAATCTTTTGCTTATGTGTGGAGAAAATATTATTGAAATATTAAAACTGTAGTGAACTTGGATAGAAGGAATTAAAGCATGCAATTGCTTTGTTTCTGTTTAAATTATTTAACAGGGAAATTAAGAATTATATATTATTAAGGCTTAATAGTTCTAAAGCGTTTGCTAAAGCTTTAAACAAATTTAAGTAAAATTTAAATTCGGATTTTAAATAAATTATTAAATCATAATATTAATTACAATGCGTATAGAAATTATTATTTAAGCTAAAAATTCCGAAAATGGCCAAATGAAAAATTTTAAAAAATTTTAATATTGTCATATTTAAAATAACTAAAACCCGAAAAATCAAGGCGAAAAATATTTAAATTGAGTTTAGTTTTTGTTTTATTATTATTTTTACTTATATATTTGATTCACTTCTAGCTTTTTCCACACCCACTGATTTGTGGAATTTCTTGTGCGCTCTTCTAACTAACGAGGCTAATTTGCTGCCGCAACTTATTCATTGCACTGCACTTGACTGACTCAGTCCACCCATTTATCCCCGCTTACCCCTCTTAAATCTCCTTTTGTTTTGTTGGCCATTTCCTGTCACGTCTCTGCCACATAAGACAGAGCCATAACAAAAACAAAAACAAAGAGGCAATACAGCAACTGCAGCTCCAACTGGTCAAAGAATTTGCAAGGAAAGTTTTGTTGACCTTAAAGGGAATCGAACGGGTGAAGACGGGAGCTTAGGGTTGAAAAGTGTGCCAATTGCCAGGGTCAGGGCCTAAAGAAGAAGAAGAAGAGAAGCGGTAGCCAAGTTTTTCTCACTATCTGTGTTTTTCCCTGCAAGCTGCATAGAGCGAAAAGTTAATCGAATTATGTGCAACAAAGTGGCAAAAGAAAATGGTCGACACAAAGTGAACTAAAGGGAGCTAATCACCTAGGTGATTATCCTATTCTGGCATCTATCAAGCAATATCTCATTTAGCCTTTCGCCTGATTTCGTTTACCTCTTAGTATGGCCATTTAAATTCTAGGCTATTCCAAAATCATTTAGAAATTATAAAGTTTGAAAATAAATAGCAATATTTATATAGATTTTTATATAGATATTCATTTTGATATTCATAGTATATTCAGATAGATATTCATATATATATTCAGATAGATATTCATATATATATTCATAAAGATATTCATATTGATATTCATGAAAAATAATAATAAAAAATTAAACCTTTTTGAATGTTCTTATAATTGATAAATACTTTAAAAGCAAAACACTTTTAACATCTGTAAAGACGATTTTTAAAGCTTAACAATAAATTCCGTAAATAGGAAAAGAACTCATTTAACTAAGTGGACTTTTTGCGTCACGGGATCTTCCCGTGTCAGGAATGGTTTTCCCTGGCTAATGCAATTATTGGCAGACGCACAAGTGGGTGAGAGATAATGAGCTGGAGAAAGGGGACAGCTTGGCTTATTTGCCAGGAGATCATCGCAAATGGCTTGGCAACTGGCAACCCGTTAAAAAGTCAGCTTTCAATGGCCCTTTCTCGACGTCTGTCGTCTGTCGTCTGTCCCTTCCTTCGTCATCCTGGTCGAGATACTCCTCTTAATTTTCCCCAAACCTCCGCCTGCCCTTTATCCTTGACATCTTTTTTTCTCATTAACATTTGCGCCCCACAATCAACGGCAGTCGAGACTGGACGACGGCGTTTTTTCGCCCGCTGTTGTGTCTGTTAACTCTTTTTTCTTTTGCCGTTGTTGCATCTCCTTCATGACACTCTGTTTCTACTCTCTTTCACCCACTTTCTCCATGATGATTCTGCCCGCCTCGGTTGGATAATATCCAAAGTGCACAGTGGTACGAAAAGTATTCTTAAATAATATGTCATTCAATAGATCTATCACAATATAACTTAAAAACTATTTTTCAAGTCTCTTCATTGATATTTGTATGGTATATTATTTAGCCTTTTTTGGATAAAATCTTATATAACTATTTTTTTTTGTTTTTTTAAAACCTTTGCAAATTATATGTAAATAAAATATAATATAGACACAAAAAGAGTTTTATTTTCAAATTTCATAACTTTATTGTATTACATTTAGAACCAAATTTGTTTGTTTTTTTTTTATCTTTTTTGACACTAGTTAATTATAATGTTTGGAGCATTTTCTCCTGAAAAAATGGCTTCGGGATTAGCTTTACTTAAATTCCTATAACTTTTGCCCCTTTTTTCTTTGCCGTAGCCATTGAAAATTTGATGATATTCTTCTGCTGTCTGTCTACCAGCTTAATTTTTTTTTATTTACTTCTGGGCTAAAATTGCAAACTGTTGCATATTTTTGTTCATTTTTCATAGCTTTTTTTGAAAGAAAATTGTAAAATAGTTGCATTGAAAGGATTTATATGTTGTGCTCTTTTATAATTATAGTTTTTATACTTACATATCTATAGATACAATGTAGTATTGTATCTAAGTGTATTTTATATATGTTTTTATTATTTTTTATATATGTTTTTATTATTTCAAAAGTCAACTACACATTTAAATTAAGCAGGGTATTTTAATATTCGATTTGTAATCAGCAACGTTTCGTTATATTTTTTTTATTATCCCAGCTTTCTGCTGCAATTTCAATTTGGTCTTTTGTTTTGTTCTGTGCTTTGTTTTTATTTGCTGGCTGTTTGTCATGGTTGATGTTGCTGTTGTTATTGCTGTTGTGCATGATGTTGCTGCTGCTCCTCGCTATGTTGCTGCTGTTGTAGCAATTGTTTGACAAGCACCACGTACAACACGCTCGTTTGGCCAGGGTTCGGTACATATGTATATATGGTACATATATGAGTTGGCTACAAAATTAAAAATGATATGAAATCAACAAGGGCTGTCGGAGGAGCTGGGGAAATTGGCAAGGCAGAAGATGCACTCGACCATGTTAACCAAGGGCCGAGAGCCAGGGAACCAAGTCAGTGAAAAAAGCAAAAAAAAAATTGTAGACCTTATGACCTGTACATACAAAGTCCGAGGCGGGAAATGAAAGTAAACAAAAAGACATGGAAATAATTAAGGGGATTGGATTTGGATATAACAGAACGAGATAAGGGAATTTAAAAAGAGATTCAAATTTAGAAAAAGGGGTTAGCATAAAGAATAAGTCAACAGGTGGAGACATAAACTATTTACTGAGTTTATGTTAGCTGCAATTGGTAAAGCACTTACTTGGAGCTTTGCCACTTGAAACTCAATTGAATTTGAATCGTTGAAATCGGTGTTTATGTTATGAATAAACCTTTTTTTTAACTCTATTTTTGAATTTACTTAAACCAAAACGATTTTGCACTTTTTGGTTAACCCCAATAAAATTAGTTCGGCACTTACTTTAAGGATCGTGAAACGTATGTATATATACATTTTTATGATTCTTCTTCTCTTAGCTTTTTGCTGACGTTCGTTAGTTGATGTTCGAACCCTCAGTGGAAAAGTCTGAAACTCCTTTGTCATTTATGCAGTCAGCTATATGAGAAAAATTCTTCATGCAACAGCCGCAGCAGTGGTAAAAAATAAAAAAATAAAAAAAAACGTGGAAAAAAACAGGGTGTGAATCATTCTTCCTCTTTATTTTTTTTACCTCTGCTATGTGGTGCATTCTTCAAGCATTTTCTTTGACAGCTTTTTTTTTACTCACCCTGCTTTTGTGTGTTTTTATATGACATTTTATTATGACGTCAATGGGTGGAAAGCGTTTAATTGACGGTTGGTTATTCTTTTGCTTCCGCTCCTGATTCTCCTATTTTTGGTTACAACTTTCAATTTAAACTTTTTGTAGATGTCCTAAGCAGAAGTGACTAAGAAGTGTATTGCGCACTTTTAATATATGGAATTGACAGTTGTATTTGCCTTTCGGTATGTGGAAAATAGCGTTATTGACGTTTTTGTTGCAGCTATTGTTGTCAATTGTGTTGCAGTTGATGCTCCAGTCTTGCAATTGATGCTCCAGTGTTATTTATACTTTTTATTCTTAAAACAGATGCTATTTTGCTATTTTGTAAAAGTTCTTTATTTTTTAAGAAACAAAAAAATGCATATAGAAATAATTGGCACAAACATATTTTGGTCCGTTTTTTTATATGAAGTTATTTGTTTTGGGAGCAATTTTTGGTAGCCTGAATACCAAGCCCGAATGGTACGTTTATACACTCTAGTTATAATATATATATATTTTTTTCTTGATAAAATTTTAGTTAATATGTAGCTATTCCTGCTCATTCCTGTTGCCAACAGAGTTCTTGTTTGTTTAGTTCCTATCGTTGTGGTTCCTGTTACTGTATTTAGTTCAACTTAAGTTGCTCAATCGCCTCCTTTTGCTTCCGCTGTGGCTGCAACAATTGCATCAACTGATGTTGCTCTTGTGACTGTAGCTGCCATTGCGGCTGACATATCCCATTACAGTTTCCGTTACTGGTTTTGGCTCAAAGGAGCTGCAAACAGTGCGACAGCTGCAACATGCAAAAGAGTTGTGGCAAATGTGTGCAAATATACTTGGTTTTCTATATGCTATATATGATTTTTACAGACAATAAATGCGACTCTTTGGCTAATATATATATGTGCTCTCCTTCTCTGTCTCTGTTGCAGCAACGCAAAGTGGTGGAAAATTGTGGCAAATTCAACTAACCTAGCCAACTGTCATTGTCTTTTGGCATTGGGCAAGATTTTAATTGAAAAAGTTTTGCCAACTCTCGCACGCAGCAGAGATGACTGTGAAATTGGCCAAGCTGTTTGGTGGTGTTGAGGTCCTGGACTCGGGCAATTCGCCACATCAGGAGCAGCAGCAGCAGCAGCAGCAACATCTGCAACAGCAGCAGCAACCACTGACTGCACCGCAGCAACATGTGCAACAACCACCGCCTCTGCCGCCACCGAATGCAAATATGAAGAGTTTAAAGTATTACGAGCATCTGCAGGCCACCTACGACTGCCACCACGATCTGATGGATCAGGATCAGGATCAGGATGACTACGAGGACACCTGCATGCAGCGCAATCATCCGTACAACAACTCCCAAAGGCCGCTTTTGGGTGACAGACGACCCCAGTTGACGGTGATGAGTGTGGGCAAGAAGGGCAAGTCGGCTATGGCCCAGCAAAATCATCCGCTGCCACCACTGCCGCCCCTAAGGACCTACATCTCACCCTACGTGCAGCAACAGAAGCGGGACAGCGCCAAGGGATTGCACGGGTTCAACGATTTCGATGCCCTGTCGCAGCAGTACAATCAGCATCTGCAGAGTCCACACATTGGCTATCCCTATGGCAGTCCACCATCGCCCACAGCTCAGTCCAGCGATTTCTGTTTCGATCGGCAGAACGGATTGGTTATGCTGCCCGGTGGAACCACCGCTCCCATCATCTCGAGCAGTTCCAGTAGCAACTGCAGCAGCTCGCACACCACATCCACCTCCTCGCCCACTAGGTATTACCCAGATCATCATCATCATCATGATCACCATGCGGCCAGCAGTAGTGCTCTGTTGTATCCCTCCCGATTCGAGGACGATTTCTGCATGCGTCGCCCAGCCGTCCTCGAGAGTTCCAGTTCGACACCCACTGCTGGATTGGGTGGACCCTTCATCTTTGGCATTGCACCGGAGCAACAGGCCACGGATTATGGCAGCAATCCACTGCCGCCAACGCCGCCTCAGCTGAAACATCAATCTGTGATTAGCCGAAGTCCTTTGGTAAGCTACTGTTTTTTTTTTAAAATACAACTTTTTTTTCCTTTAAGAAAATAGAGGGGTTGTAGAAAAAAAGACAGCTATAGCAAATTACAGTTCAGCATTTAATAGTTAGATCTAATTAAGTTATATTTTGATGATAGAATACATTCTTAAACTTATAAAAATATACACCGAGGTATGTCACTTTAAAATCGGTGTATAATTTGTAAGGTTTTGGCTTCTTCCTAGAAGCAGATGTTGGGTCACCCTTCTGCAAGTCGTTGAAAACCTAGAAATAGATAGATAAATAAATAGTACTATAATAAATCCATTCATTTAAATGCAGATTATAACTGAATTGATACAGAAATAATCAAATAAAAGTTCGTTAATAATAATGGCAATAATAGATAATAATTTGGTTAAAAATTTTACAATTTAAATTGATAAATGAAGTACTTCATTTTGCAATTGCTACTTGATTCCAAATTATTTTTAAGTATATATAACTGCCAGAAAATGGTCTTTATTAGTGATTCTTTGGTAGTCATGCCAGAGCAAGATAATAATAGAGTCGTCTCGAACCGAGGCAACAAATCCACCAACAACTGGACAGGTTTGTGAAAAAGCCTTGGCTAGAAAATGGATTTTCTTTGTTGATTTTCGTGTATTTTTTCTCACCGAAAAGTGGGTTGCGATGGTGGATGGGTTAAAAAAACTTTAACAATCGATTCTTGTTCTCTTCCTTGTTTTTTTTTCTGTACTCTGTTTTGGTGGCTTAAGAATTTACCGTTCCTGGCGTGTGGGTGTTGCTGCCGTTTGTTGCAATTGCTGTTGCAGCAGCAACACAAGCAACTGCTGCTGTTGCTGCTGCATTTCAGCATTTCGCATTGGGACGTCTGTCTATTTTGATAAGGCTGCTCTTCGCTCGCCACCTGGCAGTCCGAAAGATGGTCAGTGGGGGGTTAAGATGGGGCAGAAGCGAGTTAAACACTGATGCTGCTGCGAAGACAAAGACCTTCAATGTCTGAGCCAGTGTCTACTTGAGCTTTACATTTCAACTGCCAGAACCTCTCCTATCATCACCATTTTCCATTCCACATTGCCCCCAACGCCACTGTTTGCCCATTAAAGCCAAGAAAATGAAAATGTTGCACAAATAAAATGTAAGATCCTCTCCATTTGCCCATGCACTCAGCACGAAAGGAATCCTTTGCTGCAATGGTCGACTGGATTAAAACACATTTCGTAAATTAATAATGAAATTAATTCATGAATAGCAAGTGTGAGCGAAAAGAAAGGAAAGAGCGGCCAAAAAACGCTCAATTAAAGGATGAAATGGGTGTCGTAAAAGAAATGAGGAAAAACTATAAGATAAAGGAGCTGGCAGAAAATGGCAACGAAAAGCAAAAAGACTTGTTAATCGGTTTGATATAAATGATAAAAAAAATATTTATAATTATGAATGAAAAAAATATATAAAAAAGAATACTTTGAGAAACATAAAAAAAAATTTTTTTTTTGCTAACAAATAAGAAATCTTGTTGAAAACTAAAAAACACAATTTTCAAAGCTTTGCTTGTTCTCAGTGGGAAAACCAAAATTAAATAGAATTTAAAAGAAAAGAATATAAAAATTGTTATTAGATTTAGCAAATTTTGTTTGAGAAACTTAAAAAAGTAATTTATAAGAGAAATAAGAAAACTTTGAAAAACTTGAAAAAACAAACAAAACAAAAAAATATAATCTTCACAGCTTAGTCTGTTCTTATTGGAATAACAAAAAAATGAAAAAAATTTTAAAAGAAAAAAAATATAAAATGTTTTTTTATGATTTAGCAAATGTTTGTGAGATTGCATTCAAAGTAAACAAAATCAAAAGATACAATTTTTAAAAGGGTCTTTGTGTTCGTAATGAAAACCAGCTGGCTGTAATGATCAAAAATTAACCTGGGCCCAGTTAAAAAAGCAAATTACGCTAATGAAATGTTTTAACCCTGATGTGGATGCACTTCACACCCCTTTCCTACTTTTCCACTTTTCCCCCCGTGGAAAACCACAAAAGTCGCCAAATGTACCGTCATGAGAAAGGGGGTTTCCACCACAAAAGTAGGAAACTGAAATGAAGGAAAAAGAAATTTTCGTAATTACACTTAAGTTGGTTAATTGTCGGACAGATATTCCGCTTCTTCCGCAGCAACTTTTTCGCTTTTCTCCCATTTGCGAAAACCATTTTCATGGGTGTACTAATTACACAAATTTAATGCAAAATAAATTGCACTAAAAATTGGTAAACTTAAGAAACATGCATGAATATATTATGGGCTAAGTAAAGCAAAAACACAAGAAAATCCAATTTACTTTATTAGCCTTTGGGTTCGAATTTAGAAGTAAGGACACTATTGAGGTTTTTTGCGGTCAGATCCACATCATATACTATATCTGCTATATATGGCACACAAGGTTGCGGTTTAAACACGTCGCCGACATTGTTGTTCTATAACACCAAACTAAACCGAAAGCAAATCAAATTGAATTGCGAAAAATCGTCTTCGATTACACGGCCACAGACACAGACCATACCATATAAGTATATATGTATATAAAAATCGTAGCAAATAATGACAAAAGTCAGAGAAAGGGGAGTTGGACAATGAGAATCATTTTGTTTTGGCATTGCAAACTCATTGAGCATTTGATAAGTAGCACAATATCGATTACACTGTCTAACAAAAGCTAGATGAATCAGTGCATTTGTGAGTCATAATGAAACGGAAATAAATTGCAGCAATAAAACAAAATATTTTTCCAAAGATAACGATTTTTTATTAAGCCTCTAATTTTATATCGATTTTAAAAACTAACTTTTGTGTAAGAATAAATGCTTTATGAAATTTTCAAAGCATTTACAGATTTTCAATACATTTTTTGCAACCAAAAACATTTAGGTATTTTATTTTTAATTTCCAAAATATTAAATTACCAGTACAGGGTGGGCCCAAATAACTGTCGCACTTAATTTTTGAAATAAAAAACAAACCATGAGATATTTTAAGTAACAAATATTATTTATTTAATATATATTAATATAGCTTACATTACTAAGACTTAAGTTCTAATCTTTCCCCTTTGTATTTTCGGGCGAGCTTCAAACGTTTCTTAAAACTATTGCAAGCGGCACGCACCACATCATCAGGAATTTCATTCCAAATTTTTGTCAAGTGTCGCTTAAACTTTTCCAAATTCATCTTTTTTAAATCCTTTAGTCTATCCAGCATGTAACCCCATATGCAGAAGTCTAAAGGATTTAGATCTGGTGACGATGGAGGCCACTCATCAACAGCCATGAAACATGGAATGTTATCTTTGCACCAGTGCTGAACAGTTTTGGCCTTATGAGCCGGAGCAGAGTCTTGCTGGAAGCAAAATGGCTTATTCCCGAACAGCTTTGATGCATGGGGATAAAAATGGCCCACAAGCACTTCATCCAAATAATATTTGGCATTGATTTTCACGCCTTTATCGATAAAAAGAAGGGGTAACTTACCTTTTTCAGATATGGCCCCCCAAACCATGACAGACGTTGTGTTTTGGAATCTCTCAACAGCAATTTTTTCTGTTGAAATATCCTCCATACTTGCTGCATACACCCGATCATTCTGCGGGTTCAGGCTTTTTTGCAATATGAACAACTTTTCATCAGAAAACACAGTATTGCAACCTGCGTGCCGCCGAAGTAACTGCCCACTTCTTTCCTGTCGCATTTTTTTTGACGTTCTGTCAGACCATGAATTCTTTTTTTTTTTGTAAGGTTTCAGTCCCAAGTCATCTTTTATGATGTTTCTAATTGTTTTGCGGCTCACATTCAGCTCATTGGCTAGTTTTCGAGCTGACCTCGCACAATTTCGCCTAATTCTTTCACGCACATTCTTTATTATTTTAGGGGTTCTAACACTTCTTTTCCGACCAGTTTTTTTGGCTATATCAACACTTCCAGTTGCCTTCAATCGAGCCACAGTGCGCTGAACAAATCGCCTATTCACATTGAGATTTTTTAGCAACTTCACAATTTCACTTGTTTTTTTTCCTTGCAAATGCAAGTTTTGCACTAGCTCCCGTTTTGCTTCCATCGTCGCCAAAATTCTAACTTGCACTGATCTTATCAGCAATAAACCCCGTTAGTTACGAAATAAGATAAAGAAAGAAGAAATGAAAAAACAAAAAGAATAGAAGCACTTGTTTAAGAGTGCCGAAGCTTTGAAAAAGTGCGACAGTTATTTGGGCCCACGCTGTAGTTTAGTGTCCACTGTTGCTGATTTACCTGTTTTGCTCAGCTTATTACGTTTACTGTTCTGATTGCTGTTGTTGTTAAGTTTGTGTTACCTTTGGTCTTTTTTAGTCTTTGCTTTGGTATAACATTGCATTGCCACTTAAGATCAATTTACCTTTCAGCCATAAAACAAAAGCAAAGCGAAGCGCAATGGCTGAAAACAAAAATCCAAGTTAAAATTTGTTGTCTGCCGCAGCTGCAAATGTTGTCGGCTGTTGCAACTTGGATAATTGAAATCACTGTTGCTGCTGCACTGTGCAAAAAAAAATGTTGGATCACAACTAATCACAAATATTTTAGTACCTAAATAACTAAAATTGCATATTTGTAAGATGTATAAAAAATCTTTACCTAGGTTATGCAAAGGTACCAAAGAAGTTTACGTAGTTACGTACCTAGAAGCAATATTTGCGAAATTAATACAAAATTGAATTTAGTGCTATCAAGCTAATTTAAAAACAAAATTTAACATAAATTTTTCATTACCTAAACAACTGAAATTGTGAATTTGTAAGATGATATATCAAATCTTTACCTAGGTAATATAAAATATACCAAAAAGGTTAAATAGTTACGTATCTAGGTACCATTATCAAGATACACCACAACACTGGTTTAAGGTTATCAAAAGCTTATTTCTTGTGTTTTTGATGGTTTTAATTTGTTTAGATCTTTCAATATATTGGTTGTAT